CGATCTTTTTTTTTCTTTTTATTCCCAATTTTAATATAGTAATAATCAACGCTATAAATAAAATTAGGTATGAATTTTTCTTTTTCTTTTTTTTTTCCTTATTTACTTCAGATAAATTTATCAATTGCCGGACATGATATTAATCATATGCTAATTGATTGCACATATCAATCAGCTAAATGTAGTGCAAAAATTTCACCAGGTAATATGATAATATATCACTATGTGATTATTGATAACTAATACGATCTGATCATTGATAATTAATGCAATCTAACTTATAATATTTTCACGTACTTTACGTATGAAATTTTAAAATTACGTGACAAACTATTCAGCATAATTATATATTGAAGCTATTAGTAGTTATAAGTAAATTAATTGCACGAAGAAAAAAATTTATTTCAAAGAAAAAAAAACAATGATATGATTATTTCAGATTTAATTTGATTAGAAACAATGAAATGATAATTTTAAATTTAATTCAGTTGAAAAAATAAATGATATGATAATTTCAGATGGGAACATGGAGTATACGGTAATTGTTATACATTTATAGCAACAAATCAGCAGTATCATGGATTTGTAGGACCATTATATGGTTTATCATTAACACTATATGTTGCTGATAATGAATATCTTGCCAGACATTCACAGGGTTCCGGTTTCAAAGTACGATTTCATTTCTTATCTTATACGGAATCCGTTACACTATAATTATTATTTGGCTATCTTTTTTTTTTTTAAATTAACCATAACCGTGTATTGTTTTATTACTTTTGTAAATTTTATAAAAACGAAAAAAAAAACTTTCAGGTAGAAATACATCCTGCTGAATATATTCCATTTCCGGAAGATAAAGGTTTTACAATATCACCAGGTGTTATGACATCTGTTGGTGTATGTAATTAATAATTATTTTGAATAATTTTTTCATATTTTTTAATTTGCTTAAATTTATATGAGAAATAATTGAACAAACTTTGGGGGTTTAAATTTCATTAAAATTAAATTTAAAAAAATTTTAAATTATCAAAAAAATTTATTTTAAGATTAAACAAATGCGAGTTACACGAATGCCATTACCATATGATGGAACAGATTGTGGTGATTTTGGTGATAACATTGAAAATGATGGATTAAAATGGTTTGTGCAATATTTCATTTGGTAATTATATCAACAGAAAATTTAATTAATTAAAATTAATTCTAAAAATTTGCATATAGCAAAGTGTGCAAAAAAAAAAACTGAAAAATGTTAAAAATAAAATTTCAACAAAAATATTTTCAATAAAAATTTTGTTATAACAAAAAAAAAAAAAAATATTTGATGCTTAATTTTACTCAAAATTTTATATTTCAAATTTCTTTTCATCTAAATCATTAAATGATTTTCATGCCTAAAATAATGATCCATGTTAAGTATAATTAATTTTCCTACAAATTTCTCATCATTATTTGCAAATATCATCCAGCTAGCTAATTTCGATACTTATATTTTTCTTGAACAAATCATTTTTTAATTAAAAAAAAAAAAAATTAATTTAGTTTTAGGTATTATTATACGAATAATTGTATTTGATTAAGTAAATAATTTTGTTTCTTTCAGGATGAATGCATCGTTATATCATAAAAGATAAGTAATCTCAGTAATAATTCCATTAATTAAATTATCTAATTATGATAAACGAAAGAGAAAATCAATAAATATGAATATTACTAATTGATCGTTATTTATGTCCTCAATATATTCTCGAAAATAATCGCTTGCATATCAATGATTAATTCGATAAATTTAATTTCGAATATCCAGAAATATTTTTAAAACTACAACAATTCTAAGGGAATTAGCAGAATTTATAAATCTAAGAAAATTGCTATAATTTCAATTGATTGTTAATTAATTTTAATTAATTTATCCTTGTTTTAGATATCATGATGCATTAAAAGCAGTAGGAAATATTGGTATGATAAATTATACAACACAAGCCTGTATGAAATCTTGTTATCAGAAACGTTTAATTCAGGTTATTGTCGTAAAAAGAAATTTAAAAAGAAAAAAAAAATCGAATACTTTTTTTTTTGAATGAAAAATGAAATGATTTGCAGATAATATACACTAAACGATCTCGAAAATATAGTATAATTTGATTATCAATTGAGAATAAATTGTGATAAAGTGATAGTTATCATAAAAAATTATCATAATTATGAATGTAATTTCAAACAGGATTGTAATTGTGTGGATCCAAGTTTTGTCACTCGTGATGATATTCGCACATTCTACGCTACAGGTGATAGTCAACCAACTGCATGCGATGTTACACTACAAATGCAATTTGATTGTGTTAGAAGAGTTAATTTTCTTTTCCACTTTGTTTTTTGAAATTCATTTTAATTTTAATACAGTAGTGCAGTAATTGGATATTTAATTTCTGATATAATGCAAAATAAGTGCTAAAATATCACAGAAATGATTGCTTGCTAAATTATCTAACAATGATGGATGGAATTATATCGCCCATATTTATGATAGCAAATTTCCTTCATTTTATTTTAAAGTTAATATGTTATTTTGTAAAAAAATCCCGTTAGTTGTCTATCAAAATATGATACATTTTGATTATTAGTGAGGACAAATTGTAATAAAATAATCAAAAAGCAGAAAAAAAAAAACTGAAGTAGATGAAAATGATTAAATTCGAAATTTAAACAGTATAAAAAATTGGAATGAAATGTTAGAAATTTTCAAAGTTTTTAGTCAATGGAAAATTCGACTAAGAGTGGCTTCTGTGAGAAAGAATGTCCACAACCATGTCACGAACAGGGTTACATATCACGTGTAACCACATCATTATGGCCTCGTACAAGTTATTATAATCGTATCAAAGATCTCTGGGAACGACAATTTCCATCCATGGAAACAATACGTGAAGCACGTGAAGCTAGAACTAATTTAGCAAAACTTGAAGTATATTATGAAGTAAGCTTAAACTTCTGAACTAGTACATATTCGATGCAAAAATTTAGTCTGCAATCATTTCATGTCCATAAAGAATTGCATACTATCTATCCAAAATAGGATATTCTATGCCATCGAATTAGAATACGAAAACTGATCGAATATTCAAAACGGTTGTTATCTTTGATTAACAAGACAATAAAAACAACTGTTTAATTCGGAATACCTTCAGGAACTGAATTATGAATCAGTAGTCGAATCACCATCACAGGATGTTTGGGATCTTTTGTCAAATATTGGCGGTACCTTGGGTCTCTATGTCGGTATGTCTTTTCTGACAATTGGTGAATTTATCGAACTGTTCTTCAGATGTATCGCACTTCCACACAAAAGAATTTACAGTGTTTAAGTTCTTCTGCTGAACGATTGTAAAAATTTGCTTATTCAGCTAATAAATGAGGTAAAAATTCTGAATTTGTAACTGAACTTTGATTTTATTAGTACAATAGCATCAAAATAAGTAAAGAAAGTGGGTGAATTACAGTGCTTCACTAACTGTGAGTGTCTATTCTGACATGCCGCATTGTCTAGAGAGCTGTACATGGGATATCACGTGGTTCTGTTGGAAACAATTCTATCGCTAGCTCCTTTCCCTCATCGCCTAACAGAAAAATCCCCACTATCCCTTAAATCTCGAATCAAAATTTCGACAATGAGATTCCAAAATTTCGGACAAATAAGGAATTTCAGCACTTTAGTGTAGCAGCAAAAATGACAAATACAGTGAACTTCAAAACTTACGAACCTTATGAAAATTTCCAAAACTCGAAAAATTTTAACAAATTCATGTAAGTTAAATACAGACTATTCTTCGGTACAAAAGACAAAGAAGTCCACAGTTTAATCAAAACCACGCTTATTTCGACTCTTGTGATATCCACTCATTTGCTTTCGATATTCTTCGTACATATCTGGTTTTGAACCAACACCACGAAACTGATCCATAGTATCCCGAATTTCACCACCAGGTATCGGTTCCTCAATACCCTAAAAGGGTATTTTTTATACTTTCCCAACATACACAAAAAATATGGACGAATGAGAAAAAAAAAGCTTTCAAGATCTAATCACCTGTCTGTCGGCGCCTAAACCACCACCTTGCCAACCCATTTTTGCTAACAGCTGTGCACCTTTGTTCGTAGAACTTAATCGCGGTGGAGGTCCAGATGGTGGAATACTGGAAAATTTCATTAGTGAAACCACAAGCGATTATAAATCATAATAAATAATGTTGAGGAATAACCGGAATGAGGCATGGAACATGAACATAATAAGCTTCGACCAAGCTATTCAGTAAACCATGAACATCCTGATATTTTGATAAAATAATATAAAATGATGTTCTTACAATTTTGGAGTAGGACTTCGACTGCCAATTTGTTTCTGATTTCCAAATGAAGGCCGTGTATCGGGAGAAGTACTTCGTGAATCAGAACGCCTCCGTCGTCTCGATGAATCTGATCGAGATCTGCTACGACGATGCCTGGATCACATATATAATTGAAAAATTTTTAAAAACCTAATAAATTTTGAGAAGAGAAAAACAACGTTTATCATGACCACCTTGAATTCGAACGTGATAAAGATCGAGACCGAGATCGAGAGCTAACACTTCCACTCGACCTCGAATGACTACTTCTTGACCGTCTCCTTCTTGATCTATCACTTGAATAAGAACTCGATCGGCTGCTTGATGAATCAGATGAACTCGATCGATGATGGCTTCTAAAACATCCATTCATGTGTAAGAGGTATTCAAGTAGCATATGATCAAAAGTAGGGCAGAAGTGTATATGAAAAAAGACAATCTCTGAAAAATATGGAAAAAAAAACTGTCCATTTTAGTTCTATTTCATTATTCACTTATTCATTTTCAAAACAAAAAAGGATTCCAATTCTTGTTTATAGTAGAATCAAACAATATATTTTGCAAATATTGCGATGAAAATACGATATGTCACATAGACTTAATTCTCATAGTTTTCTTATACTGCTTTTTTACGAAGCATTGTATAAATATAATGTATACTGCTATGACAAAATCATGAAAATCTCCACATCCAACTTATCCATAAAATTTTCATAAGCAGAAATAAGCACTAATCATATCAGTACCAACCTTGAAGAAGAACATCTATAATTTCGCTTCTCATCTTTTTCCTCATCGTTTTCCTCGATATAGACATTTTCAATCGCATCTTCTAACGTCTTCCCCTCTGCTTTCAATTCTTCCTCCACTTTTTTCTTTATTTCATTTTTCTTCGCATAATATTCGAATAAACCGTGACGTTCCCAACCATCTCTAAAAAAGCGGAAAAAAAAATGGCAAATAATTTAAATTCCCAAACGGTTAGTAGGAGCAACTGCTACACTTCACTAAATCAACAAATCTTCCTTTTTCTAATGCGTACGTCACATACGCAATTTTTATAATGCAGTAGTTGCAATCTACTTTTCGGGAATTACATACTATGTGCCAAATGTGTCATAGCTATTGGAATTTTTTCACATTTCATTCTAAAAGCTTCACTTAAAAATTATGCAAAACTGTAGGAATATTAGAAAAACTCACGTATCTCTTTGATTTTCCACGTTTTGCGGGGCATAAAAAGCATCCATGGCTCGTAATAAGCGCTCAGTTGGTGGAATTGGGGGTGGAAGACGTAATTTTGATACTACGACAGGCTTGTACTGGAAAAATCCATGAATTAGATAAAATACATCAAATAATCCAGCTCTATCCCACTAAAATTTTCTGCATGCTATATTTTTTTCTATTTTTCTATCCTTCATATTATAGAAATTATTTAACGCCAAAAGTTTGAAGCAATGCGAAAGGTAACAAAGATGGGAACTGAAAACGTCACCAGTACATCTTCCATTTCAATCAGTGGCATCATCATGCCCGCGGGTAACTCGTAATAGGGTACGCTTGGAATTAAAGCTGTATCATCAAACATCTGTAAGAAACGAATATGAGGCAGCTGAAGTGATAATTTTGACCGATAAAAATGAAAGAAACTTTACAATATCAACAAAATAACTCAACATTCTACATTACATCGAATAAGAATCTGGGGAACACCAAAGGCGTGAAACTGAGATAACAGCATCTTAAATAATCTATGAAATCTATCACAACTTACATTCTGCGGTGGAGGCCCAAAAACGGGAGCTTGCGAAGGAACACGAAATGGAGGACGAGCTGTTTGGACTTCACTCTCATTTTTACGATTTTTATTCTGTAAACCAGTGTTGAATTCGTCGTCATCGTAAATAACATATGATGGATCATCTTCATCAGGCCGGGCATGATATATATCTGAAAGTTATGAT